ATTAAAATAGTGTTGTCGTTGTCACTTAGCGCCATCGAACATTTCCATGCAGAACTCCGCTAAGCTAACATCTGTTGTGTGACCCGAAGACTCTTAGTAGGAATTATTCAAGCGCGTTGTTCATGCTATCTGCTAGATAACAATTTCAGAATAATCTGCAGATCCCTAAGATTATTTGCCTGCTTCGATCGTAAAATATCTGCATTTTTTTTTTTCAAGCATTCTATTACTACATATAAATCTACATCTCTCTAGATCGAGTGTTGCCGGCGTTTAATCGCGTGACTTGTAAAATTTTTAAATAAGAATAAGCCAGCAGTAATTTGACGAGTAGCCTTCCTGCAAATTTCCCTTGATGAAATCCCAAGACATAGCCAGTTGTTTTCGTGAGCAAAGACAATAAATATGAAAGAAATATGAGATGCGAATATCTTTTTTTTTTTTTTTAGCTTAATAGCAGCTGTACCCTCTCTTGCAGTCTTCGTCTAAACTTTGCAAGGTCCACCTCCTTATCTTCTGCCTTGTTTGGTCAGTTTCGAATTCTGAAGCTAGATCATTGGCATCGGCCTCTCCGTCCTCATTCATATTTACAGAGGGGGACTTCATCAATAAACCAAATTTTGTTACGGCAGATAACCGGCTGAAGTATCGAACGATTTGCTGCTGTATCAACCGGTCAGTCTTAGACAACGTTTCTGGCTGGTGTCGTCTCTTAAACTCTCTCGATATTTGGGAAATCACATTAGAGGCGGTTGCCTTACTAGTTTCCTCCCTTGCCCAACACACGTCTAAGAGATAATTCTCTGCTTTCTGAGAAAAGGTGGCTGTTTTTTGTGTTTTCCAAAGAGCCCATCCAAAGTCCACTTGGCTAGTTAGGGATCGTTCGTCAGAATTTTTACCTGAGGTCCGACCTCGAACGTAACCGTCCCCTATAGAATGGCAAGCCGGTCTTAGTCCATTTCGTCTTGATCTTATCCTAGGCCGAGTTCTTTTGTCGGCTTCACTGTATTTGTCTTTGTCAGGGTACATTTGAATGGCAGCCAATGACTGAAACGTCTTGATACATCCTTCTTTTAGCAAGAATATCTCGCTTTCTTGTTCCGTCTATGACGGATTGGGTATAGTTCTCGCGATGACCCGCGTTCAGAAATCTGTGCACGTTGCTGATAACCATCCGCTTCTACGACTAGTTTGCTGAAGGTTTCTAATGTGATGAGCCTAGTGAGACCCTGAGGTGCTTCAAACTGTGCCAGTTGGTCTGCGCTATAAACTTGTCGCAGTTCTTAAGTCAGAGGGAGGATCGCCCACCTCTATCTATATGAGCGCCTCTATAATACCTGCGTATCCCTAGCAATCATATGATATAAAGTTCATCTCAGTCACAAATCACCAGTTAGGAAAACTGATGTTCAGATAAGCGCTCTTCTTGCCCTTCTTCCTTATTCATTGTCGACTCTAAGATAGCAGCTACATTAGGCGTTCTATTTAGGTTTACAGTCACCTTGCCGCCACTAGAAAGACTCGCCACCAGCTTTGATTTCTTCTGCCATCTGCAGATTCATCTCTCTCTCACTTTACGTCTCCGATTTTTATGAGGAGGATACTGGCATTTACGAACCCGAAGGTCTGAATCTCACACCAAGTTGTGCACGATATTTGAGGTACATCGTGAAATCGCGGCCTAAGTAATCTCCAAATAAGTCAATACGCGCTAGAATAAGCTCCATCTCGGACGAAATGCATGTTTAGGATACGTCGACGTCTCTCAAATGTTTTTTTTTTAAGCTGTATACCCACGAATTTAGAGGTATGAGCTGTTACCGTTCCTGGCCAGCGCGAGAAAAGTAACATTTGGTTCTACAGTTAGTTGCAGATGAACAAGACAACTGCACCATCTTGACTTTATCAATTCGAGTGTTAGATTGAATTGAGGGCTTTTTAGACACTCGATTTCTTATATGGCATCACTATGAAGACGTAATACAACTGATACACCTACACTACATAGGATTAACAATGTCTGTTGCGCTGTTGCGAGAAGGAGGAAAATATTACCGGAAGTGTACGCTCTTTTTAAAAAGAGTTTCAGAGACGTTCAGAGATTTCTATCTTTGATCGGCTGTCACAAAAAAGTGACCCCCACTTAAATTTACTAGGAAAAATGAACTTACCAACTGCTTGTTGAAAAAATTGGAATTCATTTGACCGATACGCCGGTTGTTTCAATTTTTCTTTTTCCTCGGGCTGCTATGAAACAGTTCATAAATTGACTAATGAATAAATAGTTTGAAATACCGTTCGGGATTTGCCTTTTTTTTCTGCGTGCAAATCAAGGGTAGACAAAGTTTTTAAAACATTTGACTAGAATTTCATGGAGTTCACCTCGATAATTTTCGTCGGCCCGAGTCAAGACGCGCCAAGCTAAGCGACATCGCCCTCCAGTAAAAAAAAAATTTTCCAAAGAATAAACGTGGCGAGCGTGAGGAAACGCACATTTTTTTCATCATTGTGATCAAAGCCCAATGATGTACCTAAATTGGTACTTACGGTACCAAACCATTGATTATGACAGGGTGAGCTTAGTTTTTCTGTCGAGGTCGACGTGACTTCACATTAAAAGCATTTTTGACGGAACAAACTAGTGAGCATCACTGCACGAACTGAGAAAGTAAAAACTTGTATTTATCTCCCACGCGTTTCGTCTAACAATAGTAGACTTCATCAAGGATTTTTTTAAGTAGGGTAAATAAGCTTGCTCATATACAAGTAGTAAATAAGTTGTCTCTTTACTATTGAAGTCAGTGGATAGAATACGCCAGGTGCGCCTACGGTGTTATACATGCGTGACATTTTCCGGACGTTACACGTACGAGTACGTGATCCGTTTAAGGGTCACAGATTTAGTGTAAATATTTCACTCCTCAACATCACCCAATGTCTCTAGTTTGCAGAGGTCTTAGAACGTTTCATTACATGGAGTTGCCTTCTGCGGGTAGAAGGCTACAAGCGAATTTCTCAGGCGTAATTGCCTTTGATTTCTCAATTGATGTTGTCGCAAACACAGTTTTTGGGAGTCACGAGACAAAAAAACTTATCAGAATCTAGTTTCATGTTCTAATGGAAATAAATAGCAAATAAAAACACATTTTCTTGAGAAATAAAGTCACAAATGAGGGGGGTTCTCTGAAACAAATAGTGATAGAAGAGGATTTCAGTTCTGGTCAATATTGACTTTTCATGGCCTACTTCCAAATCTGAGGGAACGTGCTGAGGGAATAAAAAAACATAAATGTGTGATAATGCAAGCAATGGAATGAAAATACAAATAAAGAAAAAGGAGAAAACATAGGAACCCGTGTTGCAGCGTGCAGATATCTTTTGAACCAGACCTACACACATAAGCCCGACACCAGCCAGAGAAACTCGAAAGAGTCCTGTATATGAACTAGCTCGCACGTGCACGCAGGAAAGGCCATGACAATCAGCAAAAATAATAGCAAATGCAGACGATATTTGCAGTTAAAAAACAGGAAAATAAGATAAAAAAAAAGGACTAGAAACTTTCTAGAAGTGTCTTCTTGAAAAAAAAAGATGAACAATTTTAACTTCTCATAAAAAAAAAAAAAAACCCTACAAATACTATTCCTATACGTGGAATTTCTTGATGGTGGAAAGTGGAAAAAACATTTTTCAGTCTTATATTCTGGAAACATGGCGTAGTTAATGGATTTAACAAATAAGGGGGGCAGAGTTTCCCGTCGTTCGCGGTATGGAAAAGCCGAAGTTGTTACACTCGGAACTTGTACGTCAACAAGCAGGCGACATGTGACTTTAAAATCTCCTCTCCTGTTACAGTTTCCTTATTGTAATCTGTGCGATAATGATAATAGACGATCAAAGTATAGGCTGATGAATGTTTTGTTCTGTACAAGAGCCCTATGTCCTGATTTCAGCAAATCTTCAAAGTAATAAATGACTGAAGAAAGAAACACTACGATTTTCCCATTGATTTTCCGTCAAGATGTATCCCTCTAAATGTGAAATTTTCCATTCCTACAAAAAATCTCTAAAGTTTTTCACAGTTTTCACCTTTCTTGACCAACCATCTTGTATAAAGAGCTAAAAAATGTAGGTTTATTTTGTCAAGTGACCGCCTAGAGCAAGAATTGCGTGACAGGTGTAGTTGAGAGAAACTTTTCACAGTCGCAGATTTTCAAAGGTATCAAAGACAAAAATACGGTAGTGCCCAAAGATTTTTTTGATGATTTTCAGAGATGAAATGATGGGTTATAAAGGGGAATTAGAATTAGTGTTGTAGCCTTCTGGCAACGGGAGATATTTGACCTCAAAGTTTTAAAATAATTAGATGAATCGAAAAGTCTAAAAACACAGTCGTATATTTGCCTCTGTTGACTGACAAGCCGTCGATCAAACTGACTGATACTTGCGGCGGCCATTAACTAAGGATGTAAAAATATGTGTGCAAATCTTCAAAGTAATCGGTTAAATACCATCGCAGTGAGAGCTTCATACATTTTACCTATTTGAAGCGATTTCCTTGATGAAAACCAAGAAAAACCGGGGGGTGGTCTCTCTCCCCCCGGAAAAAAAACCAAATCAGGAATCAGTCTGTTTTTTTGAGTTTTGGGGTAGACCCTTTAAACTGACAAAATTTCATTGAAATCGGTGAGATGGCATGTAGCACGACTACCCGGTGCTCTCGTGGACACGCTCTTAAGTCACTATCTAGCTGTTTTAAAAAGAAGGATCAGGACTTACCTAACTTTTAGTGTTTTTGTGGCAGTTGTTGATCCCAATTTAAGTGTTCTTAGAAGTTTCAGTTGTCTGTAAAGCTAAATAAACCTCTAATAGGGCCTGTTTATTCTTTTCCGTTTAGTTTTTTTGTATTGTTTTGTTTTGTCTTTTTTTTTCTTCTGGTCTGTAATGATTTCAATTGTTTCAGGTTCTTTTCTCAGAATTGAGCTACAGTAATAGTATGCTTCTTTGTGTTGTTGCCTACAGGAGCCACTGCTTGTGTTGAATTGAAGAGATTTCAAGAAGCAATCACTTGGTGTGATAAGGGATTAGCTGTATCCTTTGAAGGAACCTTTCATTTTTAACCGTGGGTATAATGGAAAAAAGGTTTCCATAATTTGATGTTTTAAGGGAGAAAATACAAAGAAGGGTATTAATTATGATGGGAACTTGTCAGCTCATATATTTTAAGTGTGTGTGATTAAAAACATAGGAGAAGTTATTACCTCATGACTTATTAATGAAATTACTCCTTTTAGCCAATTTGACTTAGTTCTACTATCCATGCCAATAACTGGTACATTAGTTTTGATAACCCTTTAATTCACAGACCAAATTTGTAATTATCCTTACTGTCAATCATACAATTCTTGTAATGTTAGTAAAGAGAATTCAATATTGCATCAACTAACTATTTTTAAACTGATATATTTTTTTTTACTCTCAACACTTATCTGATTGATATTGTATTGCTATTGTAAGGAGAAATTCTCTTTTGGTCACTCACGGGAGTTAAAGGGTTAGAAGACTAATATTCATCCAGTTTATACATGGTAGTTGGGTAGATGATCTCTCTAAAACAAGCCAGAACAAAAAGCTCGGTAATGTTTACATATCTTAAGCAGATTTTCTTGCCTTGGACCTTTTTTCACTACTTAGAGACTCAGAAACTTTCGTTGTGCTTTCCTATGGACAAATAAAAATTTTAAAGACATGTATTTGAGTTATAGACTCATTTCTTCCACTGTTGTAAAACATTTGTCTGATGTTAAAGCTATATTAATTTAAAAATTGAGCAAGTGCTGCTCAGTTTTCATAACTGACTTTAAGACTGAATGTTGATAAATCATCTAATCATCGCTCTTGTTCAGAGGCTTGGGAACCAAGCACGCAAATGTTAAATGGACTATTACATATCAATATGATCAGAAACATAATCTTTTTTGTTTTTTCCACATTTTTAACCCTTAACATAAAAAAAGATTAACAGAAATAATAGGATCTTGTTGTCATTAAGACTTCAGTCGGTCAGTGAAGTGGGAGAAAAGTCCATGGAGGAAAAAGATCCTATTAGTCATGACCACGGTAGTGCAAGTTCAGGTGATGTCAATGAAGTCATAGATCTCTATAATCAGGGAGAAGAAGCCATAGAGTACCTCAACCTACATCTTAAAAAAGCTAAAGAAGTAGGAGACAAGCATGGGGAGAGTAACACTTATGGTAATCTTGGCAATGCTTATTTTAGTCTGGGTGATTCCAAAAAAGCCATAGAGTACCATAACCTACATCTTAAAATAGCTAAAGAAGTAGGAGACAAGCATGGGGAGGGTTGTGCTCATGGCAATCTTGGCAATGCTTATCACCGTCTGGGTGATTTCAAAAAAGCCATAGAGTACTACAACCTACATCTTAAAATAGCTAAAGAAGTAGGAGACAAGCAAGGGGAGGGTTGTGCTCATGGCAATCTTGGCAGTGCAGTTTTTAGTCTGGGTGATTTCAAAAAAGCCATAGAGTACCACAACCTACATCTTAAAATAGCTAAAGAAGTAGGAGACAAGCATGGAGAGGGTCACGCTTATGGCAGGCTTGGCAATGCTTATTTAAGTCTGGGTGATTTCAAAAAAGCCATAGAGTACTACAACCTACATCTTAAATTCGCTAAAGAAGTAGGAGACAAGCATGGGGAGGGTAACTCTTATGGCAATCTTGGCATTGCTTATTTAAGTCTGGGAGATTTCAAAAAAGCCATAGAGTACCAAAACCTACATCTTGAAATAGCTAAAGAAGTAGGAGACAAGCATGGGGAGGGTAACGCTTATAGCAATCTTGGCAATGCTTATCACTGTCTGGGTGATTTCAAAAAAGCCATAGAGTACCACAACCTACATCTTAAATTCGCTAAAGAAGTAGGAGACAAGCATGGGGAGGGTAACGCTTATGGCAATCTTGGCATTGCTTATTTAAGTCTGGGAGATTTCAAAAAAGCCATAGAGTACCACAACCTAGATCTTAAAATAGCTAAAGAAATAGGAAACAAGCATAGAGAGGGTAAAGCTTATGGCAATCTTGGCAATGCTTATCACTGTCTGGGTGATTTCAAAAAAGCCATAGAGTACCGCAACCTACATCTTAAAATAGCTAAAGAAGTAGGAGACAAGCATGGGGAGGGTAACGCTTATGGCAGTCTTGGCAATGCTTATCTTAGTCTGGGTGATTTCAAAAAAGCCATAGAGTACCACAACCTACATCTTAAAATAGCTAAAGAAGTAGGAGCGAAGCATGGGGAGGGTGTTGTTTATGGCAATCTTGGCAATGCTTATTTTGGTCTGGGTGATTTCAAAAAAGGCATAGAGTACAACAACCTACATCTTAAAATAGCTAAAGAAGTAGGAGACAAGCATGGGGAGGGTGTTGCTTATGGCAATCTTGGCAATGCTTATGGCCGTCTGGGGGATTTCAAAAAAGCCGTGGAGTACTACAATGTACTTCTTCTAATAGCTAAAGAAGTAGGAGACAAATCCTTGGAGGCAATGGCCTACCGTTCATTAGGATGTGTTTTTGAGTTGCAAGGGGTACTGCCAAAAGCCGTTGAACATTACCAAGCTAGCATAAACTTATTCAATTCCTTGAGAGTACTTCTAATATCTAAAGATGAGTGGAAAGTTAATTTTCGAAATCAGCATCAAATGGCGTATACGGGTTTGTGGAGAGTTCTCGTAGAACAAGGTTATGTAGATGAAGCCTTATTTGTTGCTGAGAAAGGACGAGCTCAAGCTCTGACCGACCTCATGGAATCCAGGTTTTGTGGTGGAACAAGTCACTACAAGGGAGAAGATGAAGATTGCGCAGTTTTAAAAAACGTTCCATCAAACACTGTCTTTCAGGCAGTGGACAAAGCTAACGTCAATCTTTGGGTTGTGTCCGAAGGAAAACAAGTTCAGTTAAGACAAAGTAAACTCAAAGGTTTTGTTTCAGAGAATAGTGGATCTAGCCTGTCCTTTGAGTCGTTCATGCTCGGTGTCTATACACAACTTGGTGTTCGTTCTGATGTGAGATGCGAGAATCGATCTTTAGATGCTTTGAGGGAGGGCCGTTCGAAAGTGGATGAGAAAACCAAAGAAGCCAAGCCTCAACCTCATATCCAACAAGACGAATGCTTGAGCACTTTGTATGATATCGTTATGAAGCCGGTGGCTGACTTGATTGAAGGGGATGAGCTACTCATTATTCCTGATGGACCCCTGTGGATCGCTCCTTACGCTGCATTGAAGGATGGTAATTCTAAATACCTGTGTGAATCGTTCACAATCCGAGTCGCTCCATCGTTAGCAAGTCTTAGACTCATTGCCGATTGCCCTGATGATTATCACAAAAGCAGCGGTGCGTTACTTGTAGGAGATCCGTGGGTATCCGAGGTTACTAACAGCGAGGGAAAGAAGGTCTTCGAGCAGCTTCAGTATGCTAAAAAAGAAGTAGAAATGATCGGAAAAATTCTGAATATCACTCCAATCACTGGCAGACAGGCCACGAAACGTGAGGTGTTGAAAAGACTCAGTTCCGTTTCCCTAGTTCACTTTGCGGCACACGGATGTATGGAAACTGGCGAAATTGCTCTTACACCTGACCCACACCGAATATCTACTGTGCCAACGGAGGAGGATTACATTTTAACAATTGGAGATGTGTTGAATGCTCAACTTCGGGCCAAACTTGTTGTGCTTAGTTGCTGCCACAGCGGCCGGGGCGAGATCAAGGCTGAAGGTGTGGTTGGCATTGCGCGCGCTTTTATGGGGGCTGGTGCTCGGTCTATTGTGGCTTCCCTGTGGGCGATTGATGACGAGGCTACTCTTGAGTTCATGAAACACTTTTATCAACAACTTGCAGGAGATAAACCAGCAAGCGAGTCACTGAACCTGGCCATGAAAAGCCTCAGAGAATCAGACAAGTTCTGCGACATCAAACACTGGGCGCCCTTTTTGCTGATTGGAGATGACGTCACTCTTGACTTCATGGCAAAGGAAAGAGAAAATTTGAATATGAAATCACATAAATGAAAACGTTTTTATTCCATCTCAAAATGAATGACGCAGGAACTTGGAAGGTTTAAATGCTTCTCTATTTTGGCGCTTTTTGGCTATTTTTCATTATTTTTCCCTTTTTTGTTAAATGGAACTTGAGATGTGTGACTTTACTTTGGTGAAGAAATAAAACAGACTATTTCAGAATATTTTGTTCAGTGGAATAGCTATTTTTTTACCTTTACAAATTTAGATGCTTGCGAAGAGAACAAGATGCAAAAAGGCTTCTGTTGTTAATGCCTGAAGTTGTTGAAGGCGACTACGAGGTTTTTGTTTCGCCAAAATGACACTCAGATCTATTCCTTTATTGCAATCAGTTATGTGTAAAATAATTTAAAGGTTTTTTTCTTGTACACAACCAGGAGCTTGTCCACCGGGTTTTAATTACGTTGATACTCTAAGCTTTTGATAAGCAAAGAAACAGTTTGTCATTTGCAAAAGGTGGCGAAATTTTAATTTCAAAGATTTGATTTGCAAAATTCGCAGCCATATGGGAATTGATGTTAATGGTTTTTCTACGTCATAAATTGCTTTGTTGTAATTTGCAATTATCTTTACAAAAAAATAGATTATCATTTTCAACTTTTTTTCGATCCATTTTAATGCAATCTAACTCCATCAGTGCCAAGATTGCCATTCTAAGCTTAATTTGAAGAAGTAATCATCAGAGATGATGTTGTTGAATTTACTGACCATATGTTAGAGACTTTAGACCTACTCTCAGGGGTGTGGCCAGCCTCTAGTCCCGTGGGCTCGGCCTACAATTGTTTTCCGCCCGCTTGACTTTTCTGATATGACTCTTACAAATGTTGAAACAAAAATTGAAATTTCTCAGGAAAAAGGCCTACAACAAGTCTAAGTGCTGGCTACAACGGCCTGCCTTCAATCAAACGAATTTGATCAATTTTAGTCCGTTTTATCAAACACTCATCAGTTTGTTTTAGAGAACGACGATAGAGACAAATTGTCCATGTAATCTAAACATGGAAATAGCGAAGCAGAGTTTACTTTAACTAAAGTTTCCATTGCTGTGACTTTTAATGTAGGTGACATGGAATTTGTTGTTTTCATTAGGAAAATATTTACGCCAATAAATTAGGGAAACACTTGAAGTAAGCCATGTAGTCCTTAATGGGAATTTTTCTGGTGAAAATGTTCATGAATAAATGTAAATCTAGGCCGTAGTTAAAAAGGTTCAGGGCTTCAGGATGAAACTTGCATTTTTTTGAAAATTTGCTGTTCAAATTTTTTTCATGGCTTTAAATTTACTTTAGTATAATTTGGAGATGTCTGATGATATCTTTCTTAGATTTAAGAATTTATACTTTGGTATTCAGAGCACGCTTTGTAATTAGAACTTGTTATGTGGTCAAATGTTTAAGGTATACTGTATCACAGCTGTTTTAAAAGAAATTTTTGTAAAATCAATGTTAATTTTTGACAGATTTTCATAACTACCATTGGTATATGCTGCTATAAAATGTAATAGTTAACCTTGCACACGGTTGAATATAATGAAACGTAGGATTTTAAAAACAATCTGGGACAATTTCAACTAAACATTCTTTTTGTAATGTCAGTGTATTTGGTGTGAATTATTTTGATGCTATTTGTATTTAAAGTTGAAGCTATTTGTTCATTTACCTAAGTTTTTATTCATTAACCCATTAACTCCCAAGTTGTGAAGAAAAATTCTCCCAACTGATAAGAATGTGTTTCTTTGTTGCTTCATTCTGAGAATTCGATGAAACATAACGTTTCTAATGAAAAATAATCCGCTAGTTTAGATTTTCTCTAATTCTTATTGTCACCATGTTTGTCGGTGCATTAATTTTGTGAGGAGAATTTAAGTTATGATCAATGTTATGATTATGGGTTCATTTTAGTGTCTCCGTTTAGCGCCTACTTTAGTTAATGCCTTGAACAATTTAATGCAGTTTGTATTGTACTTTTTTTTACTTTTTTGTGTAAGAGAAATAGAGAGTGTATAAAATACAAAAACTGCGTTTGTTTTTATTGTCTCTCTCCATATTCTAAGGATTCGCGTGAGATGCAGGGAGAACAGATCCTACGGAGACTTCAATGCTTATTTTGACCCGCGCGCGCCAAGTTGATAATCTTTGCAGCTGACAGTGTAGTGACAGTGTACTGACATTCCATGTTTCAAGCCCCCTCACACTTCACAAACGCTCGTCGACTCTTCGATCGTGTCTCTTTCAATGCCTACCGTTCTCCATATTATCACATGACTTTGAATGCCGACGAACGTGTTCATACTGTTACCTGTGTGCGCCCTTTTTACCTTTTTACACCTTTTCACATTTGTGCATCTCTTTTTTCTCCTTCCTTTTGTTCCTTCCCTTTTTTCATCTTACTTTTCCTTTATTCCCATTTTTACGCGCACTTCTTTCATCGCCCTCAACTTTATTCTTGTACGCGCTTTATTAGACGCGACTATCTCCTTGTCTGTTTCAGTTTTCATTCGTCTCAATCCTCGCGCAACGTCAGGTCTCTTACAACTCATATACCTCCTTACTTCCCCAGAGTAGTTGTTATTATGCTTATTTTGTTCACTTTAGGATGGTGTCCTCTTAGCATCATTTCTAGTAAAATCTTAGTTTTCCTTTCAACTCATTCCCAGTCCACACGGGGTCTCAATTTTAAGTCTCACTTGCCAGTGTTTGCTCTCCTCGGTCCTCTCATTACAGTAGCAGCTATAAAACGAAAGAGCTCCCTCCAAGTCTATGCGACATAATCGATGCATTTTGTTGGAAACGAGTCCTTCAATGTCCAAATTAAGGCTTCTTCTATCATCTGATTGGGAATGGATCAAACTCTCGCCCAGGGTCCACCTACATCGCGAGTCCAAGATGGCAGCAGGCCAATCCACAGACTTCTCCGAGTCGGTAGCCGTCATCTTGGATGTAGACGCAGAGAGGACTTTGAAAAAGTGTTTTGACAAGACAATAATCAAGAAAGGTTAAGTTATTGTAATGCTTCCTAAGAGGTAGTCGATAACAACCCGAGAGATTCATTAGGAGCAAACACGTTCCGTCGATTATTGGACTCCATGTCTCCTTACGTTGTAGAACAAACTCCTCGAATACGTACGCCTATATGCCCCTCTCCTCCTCCCCTAAATAGCACTATACATCCCTTTATTGCAACTTTACAATACAACATTATACCCCTGAGTAGCACTGTAAATCCGTAAAATGAAATAACTGTTCAGCGCATCACAACAATATGAACCCCTAAATAGTATTATGCTTCCCTCTACTGAATATGTTTTCAGCATACAGCGCTCTATAAACTATTGCTCCAATTTGGCACGAAAATAATTGTGGATATTTGTCCGCGGACATTATCTATTCCAAGATGCCAAAACTGTAAGCTTCGAGGAACAATGTCCAAGGACAAATATCCGAACATATTTTGGTGCAAAATAGAGGCTATTGTGATTTTTATCCTTCAATTATTTTGCAACGCTCGTGAAAGAATCTTTATAAACAGCTCACTAAATTGAATTAAATTTGAAACGAAGACTTATCGAGGTAGACGTAAGGTTGAATATCGCTTATTAGTCACTTGCTGCATTTACACCAATTGCGCGCGAGCAAAAATATTTGATGGATCATAAAAAGCGACAAGTACCCCAAGATAGCACTATACTTCCCTCTTCCACAATTTACATCACAATACAGCGCTATAAAACAACATGTACCCTTAAATAGTACTATACTTCTAGCTACTGCAGTTTACATCACTATACAGCGCTATACAACAATATGTACCCCTAGATACCACTATACTTCAGTCTTCTGCAGTCTACATCACGATACAACGCTATACAACAATATCTACCCCTAGATTGCATTATACTTCTCGCTACTGCAGTTTACATTGCTATACAGCTCTATACAACAATATTTACCCCAAAGTAACCTTGATCGGCATAACAGAAACATACATCGAAATTTTCCATGCTTTGTGTCTTTCTCCAAGGTTCATTAAATACTCGATGAAAACCTTTGCGTCGTTCAAAGAAAACGCAGCATTTTCCAGCGCAGTCGTGACTCGTTTGACGTGAAGACACAGAGATGAGTTCATTAAGGCTTTAAATTTCAAACTCTTAAGGGCGGGAAATATTTCTGAAACAAAATCATTCACGGACATCATTATTGATTCTGAATAATGTAAATTCGATTCACGTTTCCTTTAGATAATAAATTTTTTACTCCCATTTTGCCAATCATACAAAGAAATCAATACACTAAGCAATACCTCCAACAAAACACAGTTATACAGTTGTAAATCTCCATCCTCATCCTCAGTAGAACTATGCTATCACAAAGGTGGAATAATCGCGGAAGAATAACCGCGCTTAAGACCTTCCTATATACCAAGGAATTCGTGCCGCTGGATTCGACATGTGCCAGTAACCTACTTTCACATTTAACGTGACGTTCAGCTAAGATAAGCAAACTGTTTCTTTTTTTCTTCATTTTAAACGATTCCAATCCCAATAGTGGTATCATATTTGCATAAGAAAGCTAATGTCAACTCGAGACTCTGCATTAATTTTTTTTGATGAAATGAAACACAACAAACCAGAGATACTGCGGACTTAAAACACTAACCGTTTAAACAGTTTCTTCCACATGACGCTCTTAACGGGCTCAACGAGCTGCCAAAATTCTCTTCAAATCCGTTTTCGTTCGTGTGATAGCTTGACTTCTATTTCGATTTGACAGTTCAGTTCAACAGTTTGACTGTTAAACCTTAAATGAAGATTTGTAGACACCAGCTGAATAGATTTATGAATTTGCTTAATGGCGAATGAACGCATTGAAATCAAAATTGATTTTCTTTAAGCTCAGCTCACTGAACTACAAGTCTGCTGTCAGATGATTAACGTGGACGCTATTTTAGTCCCTTAAATTTCTCATTTCTTAATGCGTCAGAAATTGAAATTA